CGGGAGATAGTATAATCTAAATAAATTATTAACAAAATAACGCATTACAACAGATTCATGTGCAGTGTAAGTAAACATGAATAACTGATCGAGATATACCAGTTCTCTGATATTCAAGTCAATAAGTCTGACGGTGTCATTCCTAGGAAAATGCTGAGTTTTCGACTTTGTTGATTCCTTTTTGTTATCATTGTCTAATGGTTTCAGTTTATGTGTGATAGTATATCCTCTTTGGGTATTCTCTATCTTCCATAGAACAACAGAATGATCATATTTATTTACTTCATGACTTTTCAATATTTCATCAGGGCTCTTTCCCGGGAGCACTAATTCTAATTGTCGTTGCAAATTCATTCTCGATCAATAAGTATCAAATTCGACAAAAATCAGGGTGCCACTTGGCGATCGAAGGGAAAGATGTTTACGCAGTTGCAAAGTGGTCGTGTTTTCGGTGTGCTCGGAATTCGTTGGTTGTCTTTTAATATTGGGGCGGAATCTAGTCGTTTCTGCAATATACTCAGACACAGATATGTGGTTTCAAACAAACGAAATAATAACACGCTCGAAGAATATCGAGATGACATCCTAAAAACATATCAAATTCCTGGAAAATACCTGAAATACATAAAAAAGAATAGACGGCAATTGAAAAAAGAGGCTTATTTTACAGCTAACTATGGTAGCGAGGTATGTGACTAAATACAATTACAAACAAACAGACCAAAGTTAATATTGTACGTACGCAACTCTAAAATACGCTTATTTGCTCAACAATACAATCATGAACAAAATAGTCGATCAAAAGAGTTAGCGCACGCAAATACCGAGGAGAAGATGTTTTCAAATCCAAAGATCATCGCCAATCTGAATCAGTTCGCCATTTATCTCCTCAGCAACAAAACCTCATAAATCGTGTCCATCGCGCTTTAGCAAAGTCTCAACTCGCATTACCACATGCATATCTGGGTTCACCATTTGTGAAGATAGTAAACGTTAGCGTGACACCCAATCTTCGCACTGCACAAGTTTGGTGGAAAGCGGAACCACAAGGAACAGTAACTGCGCTAGATATCGAGCATAAAATGAGGGAACATGTCGCATCACTTCGAAATATTATACAACAACAGATCAAAGTAAAAAAGCCACCAAGAATTGTATTTTTGAGGGGGGATTTGGCTGTTGGTGAAATAGGCAAAATATTGGACAAGTTGGAAGCCGAATTAAAAGCTTTAGATGCAAATAGTCCTCCTGAAGAGAACAGTCTATTAAATAAAAGTCCGGATTAAATACTCTAAACCGCTTATTCCTCTGTCAAATATCCTATGTTATACATTTCCCTGCAATAAACCAAATTACATCCTATTTCAGACCCATCCTTGTTCATAATTTCTCACTTTTCACATTGTGGCATTGTTATGCTCATATAATTGACCCAGCAATGCGAAAACACCAGCCTGTCTCGGTTGATCTTGCTCTGCTGAATCCGATAATGTTCCATCGCCACCATCCTTGCCACCAGTCATCAAATAACTATCACCAAGTTCACTCGCATGGTTCTCTTCACTAGCGGACGAGTTCAACGGTTCACTCATAGTAGCATACGTATGGCGCTGATGATACCCGTGGCTAGGGCCTCCTTGATCAGTCATTAACGAATCATTGATATTACTGGCGAGAGATGAACGATAGGCATGAGAATAGTTTGGCGCATGCGATATGCTATTAGAGTATCCATGGGTGTTGAAATGAACAGTGCTATTACGACGATTGTGACGTGTAGGGGTATAATCAATATTTGATTCGCGAAGTTTACTCGTACGATCGTGATGTATTTGATTATTGAATTCTGCAAGGCGGCTCAAGTACATCGAGCCTGTCGGGTCTGTGGGTTCCCAATCGGGGTGATTGGCCTAATATTTCGTACAATGCAGAAAGAACAATGTAAATATCGCGTAACAGCAAAATCTAAGAGTTTTTCAATATCGCAGTACCTTAAAGTTCAGAAAACTCTTTTCCATCTTTCCTTCTTTCGAGAGATAATATTCATTGGCCACTTCAGTCGGCGCACCATACTAGAAAGCGATGAGACCAAACGCTTAGTAATTACATAAATGCGCTATAAATTGCTTCCATGATGAAATAATCAATTACCTTCACGTTGCCATGTCTCTTAAAGTCAAATACAGCAAAACTACACACGTACCCCACACCATCCACATGAACTGTGAATTCTCGAAAGAAATCAACAATTTGTTCACTGCAGTCAGGTAACGAGAGCCACAAAATGAACGGAATAAAAATAACGCTCAGGATATTTTGGAGTATTAACACTACTTTCAGTTCAAACATCGATCCGAACTCCTTTCGAACCTGTTAAAGCATAATATTGTTAACGCAATTTCTGTAAAGTAGAACTCTTGCACCATTGTTACAACAGGAGAGTGCTGACAAACCTCATCCGCATGCAGATTCTCTTTCCACTCACTCGGCATGTAATGTGTATATTCTACAACTCGCTTCAACGTCTCTTCCGCATTGACAACCTCGGTATCGTCCGGAATTAATTTGGTAATTACGGCAAATATAGACGCGAATACACCGCAATAGAAGAATAATGATTTCCCGGGAGTTATTTCGAAATTTAGCGCGAATTCTGTGTGCGTGATTGTCGGTATTAAAAGAATGGCCGTAAAAGAGCCGACTACGAAAGAAAGGAATCTGAGTTGACGAGAGAAACATTAGTTTCAAGCTACAAATGCTGGCTGCTGTATTATTTTGCAAGTAATAAACTTACTTCATGAACAGAACGGTTTTCTTCTTTGGAAATTGGTCTAGATATTTATTGGCATGCTCGTAACTGTGGTTCAATCGCATTTCGAATAAATGCGGCAATTCGTTAAATTCACGGAACTTCCACCGAGCAAAGGGCGACCATCGACGTGACATCATTTCTGTCGGGTTAAGCCGGAATTTCTACAAATAATAAACTACTAAGTATACAATAAAAAAATATGCTTTCTTCGAGATAAGTGTAAAGTGATTATTGCTTACCACCAAGTGATCGAGAAAGAATGTTATCAAATTGAATATGACAATAAAGGGTGCGGCAAGCTGGTTCATGAGTCCCATAAAAATAAATCTGCGACGTAGACTAGTGACGGTAAGATGCACACGCGTACGTTTAGCAACCACTATAAAAGCTCAGCGAAAATTTACATAATGAAACTTGTTAATGCCCACCCTCTTATCAAATGTTCTCTCTGTACGTCCTTGACGAAACGTTTCCTGACTTGGCCTCTGTTGTTGAAAACATAATCTATTATGCAGAAATTCAGATTCCATTCTAATGTCTTTGTAAGTATTTGTTTCTCTCTCAAGAATGGAAAGGGTATTGATAAGTTCAATAAATCCTTGTTAAATAACGCTATAAGATAATTCTCTTGTCGCATTATTCTGTTGGCAATGTTATGAGCATCAAGGCGTTGTTGACTCTCTTTAAGATGATGACCCTGTATTGTCGTAGGATTATTGTTACGAATTTTCATTATCTGGTTAACTACTTTTTGCCATGATACTGTCTGTATGTCAGCCTAGCAATCGATGTTCAGCATCAGTATAATGTCACTTGCAGAGGCAGAACAAGAAGAAGAAAAAAGCTGCAAATCCTTACATCCGGTATTTCCAAAAGATGAGTATAGAAATTATACATCTCAGTAAGCTCACGAACTTCCAAAGCTAGTCGTATTGCTTGCCACACCGAGAAACACGCGCACATAAAGAGAAACCATTTTGTCGAACCTGACAACCTGAAAAAGATGCGAATATTACTAGAGTCACCTCGGTAATAAAATACAGTAAACGCTTATGCCAAATGGCTTACTGGCTGATGCATTGTGGAATCACTACATCAGATAGCCTATTATTGGGGTCTAGCTTTGGATAGTCTATACAACCGACCAAGAATGTCGAGAAACATACGACAAATGCGAATTTCCTGCAAATATTCCAAAATGCATCAGACTTAGAATTTCATGGAAATCACGCATCAAGCTCGCATTGACTCACAATATGTTTAATAGCCTGCCGAGAAAAATGCAATATATGCCGTGCCCTTGGTAATAAGCGTATACCTAACCATGTAAAAGAACAAGATCGCCTCAAAGGTCCAATTCGAACTGTCCAACACAAAACAGACAAAAACCTATATCACCGTAATCAGACCTGTCCAAGAAAATTATCCAGATTCTCAACATTCGCCCATCGCCACATTGTCAAATCCTTGATGTCCATTCCGGGTCGCATATGCGGACTCTGTTGCTTATGTCGTGAACCAAAGTTGGGAAACCAGCGTGGCCTATTTGGGTATGTGCTTATACCTTCATTCGTCGTTCGGGGTATTTCAACCATTAACGACGCAGGTGCCTCATCGAGTTCATTGTAGTCTTCGTCTGATAAGTCGTTAACTTGAACGCTCTGATATTGATGGTTTCGGTTCGAAAATAAGGTTGATCGAGAAGCTGCTTTGCGTGCTGCTGTTCTCGAATCTCTTGCATGCAATTTATAGCTGTTTGATAAGCCCTCTTCAACGTACTCGTCGTCTTCGTCCTCGTCTTGAAAGGGAACGTACGGCGAATCATTAGATATTTGCCGACTATGATCTGACATGTTTTCTTATGCTGTGAGAATATTTTCGTTTACTAGACAACTTCCAAGCCCTTCTGCGTCCTACTGCAAAGTGTGGGCAGATATATGGTAAATTGACGCCCGCTGTAATCCGCAGTGAGAAATCAGGTTACTGCAATACTGATTACATGGATCGAATTCGAAAAAAAACATTACGCAGCAGTTGGACGAAAACTGTCATCCCGCAGCCTGCCCCACGATCACGCGATATGTGTGGAACACGAAACGCGTATATTTAACTTTCGCTCGATCAGTCACACAATCACACACTAACGATAAACCATATCATATCAGTAAAAACCCTCAAACCATGCAGCATCAAGTACAATTACTTAAGCAACCTTTTAAAACGCCCTTCAAACATCAAACCGAAAACGATAAGAATCAAAACCGTATCAAGTTTAAATCCGTGAAATCTTCCGAAAGAAATATGAGTAAACGCTCTCGACCAGTATATGCTTATGCCGACGACAGTGATAATGGTCATGTATCAGAAGATGGAGACTCTTACAATGGCGATAGCGGCAGTGATTTTGACTCTGGACCTCCACGTAAAAAGACTAAATCATCAAATTCAGCGAGAAAACCATTATCTAATTTATCTACAAACACTACCCCGATTACGAGAAAACGCGCAGATAAATCCACAGTTCGTGATCCGATTAAAGTTCTTGGATCAAAGTTTAAAATACCTAGTTTTGCAAAAAAAGTGATTAATGGAATGGATTCTATGGGAAAGACAAACATTGGGACGCTAGGAATACGTTCTAGAGAGCTGTTTAGTACAAGAACTTGTTTGTATGACCATACAGCAGAAGATGCACTTATATTATATGATCCGGAGGAGGAAGATGATGTGAAAGGGGGGAAAGAGCAACCGAAGGAAAAGCCTGTGGTAAAAGCCAAATCTGTTGCGGATATTTTAGGCATCAGAGTAGTTAAGCATAAGAAAGTTCACGTTGTTGTAGGTATGAACGGAAATAATGCGCTATTCGTTCGAGTTGATAATCAACTATATTAATAATAACCAATTAGATCCCTGTCTGTCGAGCGTTCTTCGTCCTCATCAAGTCGAGGGTGTAAAGGTACGATCATTAGAGTTTACGTGTATGGCGGTATTATCTGGAGATTACCAGCTTATCGAAAAATTTTTGGTGTAAACCTGCAACAGTTTCTTTATAAATGCACAACGGGTCGATTGGTACCAAACACCTTCGGGTTAGTATAAGCGTTAATTTAACTTAACAAAACATACATATTAACGGTTCTTACGCTTTGCATTCAGGTGTATTATGGCAGACGAGATGGGTCTTGGCAAGACTGTAAGCATTCATAATGGTATTATCTATATTGATTGTTTGACGGTTTTCATCAACACTTTGCATTTGATCAGCTACAATGTATTGTTCTTCTTTGGACCCTACTTCGCCAATCTCCCGAGCCGAACAAAGGCACCATTGATAAGTGCATAATAGCCTGCCCTTCAAGTTTGGTGCGTAACTGGGCGAATGAGTTGGGTATTGTGTTTTCCAATAGTTTAAACTGATGCTGGCGTCTGCACGTTAAGCACATTATAAATAATATTTCTTCATTGACTATACACGTATAGTGAAATGGTTGGGTTCGACAAAAATACGTCCGTTGGCTGTCGACCACAAAGGCGTGAAGGAAAGCTTAATACGAGATCTTAGGCATTTTGCGAGCGCACAAGGACGTTCTATAATGAATCCAGGTTTGTCCGTTGGCGTTTATTCTCCGTTATGGACGTTTCAATTATTTAATCAACTATTTATCTTTTAGTACTGATAATATCTTACGAGACACTTCGTACTCACATAGCCGAGCTGCAGAACTGTCAAATTGGTTTATTGTTATGCGATGAGGGTCATAGATTAAAGAATTCGAGTGCGTATCGCCTATGAACGTGACTATATTTTGATAAACGTTAAACATGAATTATTTTCTCTCCGATAGATTCATTGACCTTCCAGGCGTTAAACTCTTTACAAGTACAACGACGAGTAATATTGTCCGGAACGCCCATACAAGTACGCGTCTTTGTTATGGATTATTATGGGTGATTTTTGACCGGGTTAAGGGAGACCGCAAGATAAATTTAGGATCTAAAAATTATACTTACCTTTTTTCCAACGCGCACCGTCATTCTTAAATAAGAACGACTTGTCGGAATACTTCTCCCTGCTGAACTTTGCTAATCCTGGGCTGCTGGGCACCCCGGCTGAATTTCGAAAAAACTACGAAATTCCCATTTTACGTGGTCGTGATGCAGATGCCAGCAATACTGAGCGAGAACTAAGCGATCAAAAGCTGACAGAATTATGGGGATTTGTCAGTAAATTTATAATAAGAAGGACGAATGATATACTATCAAAATATTGTAAGTTCCGTGATAAACTTGATGTTGCGTTCGAACCGCGCAAAGATAAAGGTACTAATCCTGTTGCACATTGTAGTACCCGTGAAATACGAGCATGTAGTCTTCTGTAGGCTAAGTGAATTTCAGACTAAGCTATATAATCTATTTTTGACGTCTCCAGAAATTAAGTGCCTGTTGCGCGGAGTTGGCTCCCAGCCGTTGAAAGGTTTGTCTGTACATTCAATTATAATATATACGAGTACTGGATGAAAATCTTGCTTAAAACTTACGATACAAATTCGTATGCAGCTATCACTATGCTAAAGAAACTCTGCAACCATCCCGATCTTCTCAATTTACCACGAGATCTTTCTGGATCCGAACGCTGTTTTCCTGAAGGCTATTCAATTAAGGAGAAGGTGCGACATGTGAGACCAGAGTTCTCGGGCAAGATGACGATTTTAGCCAGGTTCGCCTCCGAGACACCCGAGATATCTGAGAATGAGTTTCCCTTCACTGGTCGTTCGAATAAAATAATTCGCTAATTATTATGTTCATTTAGGATGCTAGAAAAGATACGGAACGAGACAGATGATAAGATTGTGTTGATATCAAATTACACTCAGACACTTGATTTATTCGAGAAATTATGTCGCAACAGAAAGTGATAATACAGCCATTCTATCTTTCACTCAAATCTCCATTATAAGATTAGAAGTTAATTCATTCTTTCCTTATACATAGGTATGGCTGCTTGCGGCTCGATGGCTCAATGTCGATACAGAAGCGTCAGAAGCTGGTAGACAGATTTAACGATCCGGAAGGAAAAGAGTTTGTATTCTTACTCAGCAGTAAAGCTGGCGGATGCGGACTCAATTTAATTGGTGCCAATCGGTTGATACTATTTGATCCAGGTTAGTTGTGGTTGCAAGCGGTGAGGTGGGATGGCAGTAAGGGAAATTGATTCACGATTGTGCATTATTATTGTTACATGTAGATTGGAATCCGGCTGCGGACCAACAGGTAGGGTTTCAGTTCTACCTAAACGCAGTTGACTATATGCTAGTCATGCTCATGGAATGCAAATTCTATAATTAAATCACATTCGCAGGCCCTAGCGCGCGTATGGAGAGATGGTCAAAAGAAAAACTGTAAGGGACCTCAGTATTAATGCAACCCCAATATTAATGCAATTATCGCTTTACCTTTTTTTTTTACTTATACATACCGTTCTCGTTATGTTTTCTTAGGTTTTATCTATCGATTCATAGGAACTGGAACCATCGAAGAAAAAATTTTCCAACGTCAATCTCATAAACAATCTCTTTCATCATGTGTGGTGGACGAAGATGCAGAAGTTGAACGCCATTTCTCGCTGGAATCTCTTCGCCAATTGTTTCAGTTTAACCCCGATACTATGTGTGAGACTCACGGCACCTTTAAATGCTCGAGATGCATTGATGGTGTGCAGAAAGAGGCGAGCAAATGCATGAACTATGGAGACACGAGCACGTAAGTAATCGAGTGAATTATAATTACCTTCGAGTTTGCCTTCCAATTTACTCTTGAAGCTGTGGAACAATATACTGAGCTAGTTGCGAGAGGAGGCAATTGAATAAGATGAACTTTACTAACTCTTTCATTGTCTCATAGATGGAACCACTTTACTGGAAGTGATGATCTCGAGGACATACACGATTCGATATTAAGAGAAGCGAATGATGGAATCGTTTCATACGTTTTTGAGTATATATCACACTGAATGCATCCAAGAGACCGACGATAATGTAATAGAAAAACATACTCTAAATTTGAAATGATCGCACATTCACAAATGTCGTGTGGAATTACGTAGAAATGATGTGTAGATCCTTATCAAGAGAATATATTCACCTTGTTTTACATGTTTTGAATAATTGAAGACATGTTAAATACAAAGATCAACAAGGCCGGAACGTCTCTGCCCAGATGCGCCAGTGATAATACCAAAGGATCCACTACAAGCTCTCATCACATGTATCAACTCAAAAACGTACTATTTATATCACATTAAGCCAAGATAAGAAATGGAAATATTAATTGCATAACCGTCGAAAAAGACAAACCCTATGGAACTAACCATAATCATAAGATAATGGAATTCCTATAGCTATTGGGCATACTGTATGTAGAAATATAGCTGAAGATATCGACAAAACTGTTACAAGACGTATTTCAAAAAGATAAAAGAAACTTCAGCGACATGCCAATAGAAAGTCTTGAATTCGTTGGGGCATATTGTCAATTAATTCTAGAAAGACTGTTTTCTCCCATTCTTTTAAAGTTCAGAAAGCAACGTTCGAGATGATTCCAAAAATGCTCAATCCGGAACTGAACAGGCCAATCCGTCAGTTATTTTTCCCAGCAACCCGAGTCTTATGCTCGCATTAGTATTGTTGAGCTTTGAATTAATAAATGGTATCAAAAGATAGTAAAAGAGCGATTATTAATTGTGTTGCTGTTGGCGCGTAGGGCAGTAGAAAAAGCATGGATAATACATATATATGCTGTTTGAACTAGTTATGAATGCGTTTATCAATGAATAATAATAATAATAATAATAATAATACTCACGATACCTTGGACAACACACATGACATCCTATGCTCCACACTGGAAAGTGTCTTGACAGACGGTTTGTTACCATGATGACAAAATAACAGGGAGAGGGAATAGCATATTGATATACAACGCAATTTGCTTTGAAATGCATACCAAATTTTACGACTTATGCAAATACCTTTCTAACAATTAGTTTATCTTGGCTTGGTCCACTTTGGTATTTGTAAACCCATTGCGTCTCTAAGATGAAAGTAATAGTGGAAATGTAGTGCTTGTTGTTAGTAAGCAATCTAGCAGACAATGGTCCTTCATGCTGGCTATTTTGATGAGCATATTCAAATTACATAAAAATCTTGGTAGGAAACCACGGCCCTAGAGAATTGAGTGTTGAATTTCCGTAAATACCGTTAAATTGAATACTCTGATATGTACTGAAGCGATCGTTGGTATGACTTGTGAAAAGCTTGCGTTTACTGGGAGCGCTAAGCGTTATTTATTCCGTAAAACTCTTCAATTCCAGCGACTGTCTTGTAACTATTCATGGTATATTATAGAATAAGCTCGCTTTATTTTTCAACATCAACATGCGAGAACAAATTGTGAATTTATCACAGCCTTTTAACGGTTGAACTCAAGGAGGTAAACAGAAGGTGAAAATCTGTTAATTCATAACGTGTAAAAATCCTGAAATCTGGCATAGCAAATACATATGGATAAAAAAAACGCCTAGCAATTAAAAATAAAACCAAACCGGAAATACTAATATGGAAAAAGATGTGAGGCAGTCCTAATACTAATGAATATTAAATGCAGCTGTGATGGCACGTTGGGCAAAGAACAAGTCCAGTGGAATAGGGTCAGGAAGATCTTGAGGTATTTGGACAGTAGGCTTCAAATCATCTGGATGATATGTTAATAATGCACAATATTTAATGGAACTCCTGTGCCATCCTGTGTACCGAATTCAAACTAATAATCATTATATATATATAATAGAGATTTTTAATATGCCAACAGAAAGGCGATCACTATAATAATAATTTAACGCTACCATATTTCTATACCGAAATCTGCTCGTGCTTCTATCTGATGCACAGAAGTGCCAAGCCTGCGATAAATTAAAACCTTTAGAATACTTATACAAATAATGATAGCTACACCGTATTAATATAGCTTACCCTCATACGGACCGGTACTTGGTTTTGGGGAACTGGATCGATTTTTACGACAATGCAATCATGGGCACGACCAGGAGTTAGCCAATATTTTAAAGTTTCGTTAACATGATTTAATGTTCAGAATAGGCTACTTCTATGACCAAATTTGGCCAAGGAAGATCCTAAAAGAGATATATGAAATTACAAACTTCAAAAAGTTCAAACAAATAGAAAGACTAGAAAATTACATTTCCGTCGCTCCCATTTGGCGCCGTTACAGCTGGTTTTATCGGACGAAACGATGCGTCAGCTTCTTTTCCACGGTTTCTGCCACGTGTTCCTTTAAGAAATAAGAATTAATACGATGCCACAAACAGAACGATATGTTAATACTTACTGGTAGAACCAAAACTATAAATCTCGGCGTTAGTTCGTTTCACAGGAATGCAACTCTCAATTATGTCGGAAGTGATTGCACCGATGCAAACTTCATGTGGCATAGAAGGAAGTTCATAAATTACGACATTTCCTTCTACCCACTCCCAACATCTGTGTACGCTAAACATTTCTGAACGTCTTTCATAATCCTTAATATCGATTCCCTTAGCAAGCACATAAGGTAATCTTATATATGAATAACAATTTATATCAGCCACCAGCTAAAACAAATGTTCAACGTCAAGCGAGTACGAAAAGAGACTTACGTTGCTTCTTCCCACTTTGCTTTTTCGCTAAATTCTCCCTTGTCCCACAACAAGTTTCGATAAAAGAAACAATCTGACGTTTGTTCCGAAACCGCATCACTACTCCTAAGAACATCTCTGGATTAGCGAAAAAACAAAGAGTAATGATGATTGCACTTATCTACTTACGCAGAACTTGACTGTGTTTGTATTGAGCTAATAATGTTAGAGCTAGTATTTGATGAACTGGGATATAATGAGATTTTGTTGTTTTTTGATGTTTACGATAACAGGAAAGAAGGTAAACCACCTTTTACTGATTAAATTTGCATTTAATACCGCGTCCTCACGCGTAATCTCCTTTGCACAACGTGATGCGTTACAGCTCACCTAAGATTATTTGATGATCGGAGTCGCCGCAATTTTGAGAGATCGTCACATATACAACTAGTAATTCTTTGGATGATAAAGATGTCGGGTCTCTGGTCAACTTTGAGTTCGTCTCTGGCAGATTAATATCAATGTTTTTTGGTATCTAATAACTTCATGTTTCAAAAGCGATTCCACAAGTTGGATTAACTCTTTTTCAGATGATAGTGATTTCTGTTCGGTGGCACGAACATCGATTATTAACGTATCACCTGTTTCAACCGATCAAATAATAATAAACAACACTTCGGAAAAATTAAACTTTTTTTAAATAAACAAATAAACAATTTCGTTCATTTTACTATACTACCTGAAAATAAGCAACACATAACAAAAAGGTGTTGCTTATTTTTTTAATTGCCTTCGATTCCTTCGTTGCAATGTTTCTAATAAATGTGTAGTCCTTTACACTCTGAAATACGCTGTTAATGATTTAGTCCGTGGTAACTTATCGTATAGTTTAATGTAACAATAGTCGTGGAAATTACACTACACTAAACGTGTAAAAATCCTGATGTCAAGGATTCTACAAAATAGATGGTAAGGATCGATATCGTTTACTGATGATACGGGAAAGCACTTTACACGTTAGAGATATCTACGAACAAAATAATAAATATGAAAAACTTACTGAAGATTGAAATTAACGTGCTCACTATGAAATAGCGGTAAGTGATTGTAAATAATCACATGTCTGCTTCTGATTGGCAAGCACGCATTACACGTATCCCTGAGAGAAAGATAAGATACTGAAACCTACTGGTTGCTTCTGGGCTTGTCTGCTTGCACAGAATAGCGTACATTAAGACGGTAAACGACTTTTCCCGAAATGCTCCAAGTTGGGTTAAGTGAGTATGCTCCGAATTACTAATTGAATTTTCATTCATTTCATCTCACCATTGAATTCACAACATTGTAGTTTTGGATCAGGTGGTTCTAATCTGTCAGACCCGATTTCTTAGAGACACAAAATGTCCGAATAAACTAGAACTTGGTCTCACACGTTCTATCATGTGACATAAATGAGAGCGGAAGCGATATTAATATGTATGATTGATTGACGAGTGATAGACGGTTGCGACTGTGGATGGTCACTATGGTTGTGTTTGAATGGATTTTAACACTATATGCTTAAGGTGAGAAATTGATATAGTATCAGAAACTTATTTAAAAAGAATTATGCTTTCTATACGAATTAGTAACCACTCATACTGTCAGGTAGGTTACAAATATATCATAAAATTTTTTTTCGATAACAATCGAGATAACAAACGTCATTATTGTATACGCGAGTAAGTAAAAAATTCAAAGAACTGTGGCAGAGAATGATACATGACGCAATGTTTATACCACAAACTCGTAATGTCTCGACAAAGAATATCTGCAGCATCATGCATGACTAAAAAAAGAAAGTCATCTGATGCAGCATACATTCAAAGTGAAGGTTGATGAGAGCAGGATTCGGACATTTGTTTATCATCAGACAAACAATGACGAAAACGTGCTAAAATAACGTCATTTAGTTACGCTATTGTCTTTTTTTAGAAGGACATTGAATTAATTCAAATCGCAGAACGTGAATATTAACAATGTATGTTATTACCATTGGTTTTCCATTGTTTCTCCATTGTCAATTTTAATTGCTATTGAAAAAAGCCCTTTCTTTGTACTTGCAATAATTTCATTAGACTCGTTAGACGAGCAGATGTGACAGAAAATGACGCTCACAATGCACAATGCTATAAGTGTGATATAAGCAAACAATAAAACTGGATAAGATACTGAGAAAGTTCTGTATGAGTTATCCACATTTGCACTTGCCAATTTTCTAGATTTTGCCTTTTTCTTCCAATAAATAAACAACATTCGTACCTCGATTTGTAATAAACTGTCGTAATTTTGTTTACAACCAAAAGCGGTGTTTCATAATTAAATTTGCTAAAAAAGGAACCAATTTTGCTTTAATCGAGATTATATTCACAAGTTTTATTTAAAGTTACCAAATTATTAAATAGCTATAATTACCACGTATTGCTATAAAGCTGAATATGCTATTATTGAATAACGAAATAAACATTTAAGTATCTTCCCAATTCAATGTTTAATTCGAGAAGAGCAGTAAAATGCAATAGTATTTTTAATACCAACGGCAATGAACAAAGACAAATATAAAAGACTAGAGTATTATCACGACGATCTCCAACCGCAGCAGCTCGGCTCTAACATTCTTCACTGCACACTTATTTATTTAACGTGATAGAAACTGCAGAATATCGAAAAATTTTCTTAACAAGTAGCGTTATTAATAGTAGTTCGGGTATAAATCCGCAGCTCAAATGTCTCGTTCTAAATTTGATAAACACAAACAATATAAATGAAGCAAAGCGTTTGTAGTAGTGAACAATCAATTTTAGACAAATGACGAGAATATTCTATATTGATACAGAACGATAGCTGCAACAATCATTTTCTAATATGGTAAAAAAGAGAACACCCCCCTTTTCCTTACTCCCGAAAATGATTGCGTCACCAGCAAAAGTAGCAAATTTTTCGGAGCAAAACCGAGTATTTGTAATTAATCGTCTCAAACTGGAATGGGACAAAAGGAAAAGGAATGTCATTGAAAAAAAAAAGCTATCTGTATTTATAAGCACATAGTCAACGAGTGTGGTCAACGATTTATTGGAAGCAACTCAAAAACTTCGTTTTGCGCAAGCACAAATTCGATTTATAAAATCAAATATTGCATACAACTATAACTTTGCGATAACCCAATACTTATTTTCACACAAGAGACTATCTCTCAAATAACTGTCGTGTACTCAATAACAAATACCATTTGCCGGCTCAACGAACGCTACAAAAGGAATATGATGCCACGTCAAGAATTCTCTGTCGAAAACTTGGTAAATAACCGAACGGTCACCAAGTTAAAGAAACATATCCAACTTCTCCAATATGAACTTGGTCCTCACGACCCCGGCGGCTGAAAACTCTAATTCAATCAGCAATCAGCAAATACTTGTCATTTACAATAAACAGTTGGTAAAAAAGAAGGCCCTGTCCAAAATTAAAGTTAGAGGGAAGACAACCGCTCCTGACCAAAAATCCGAAAGCATAGAAACTTTCGATTTTAATTTCAGGGAAACCGTTCTAAGGCTAATCCGAAAGCGTGAAAACATCCGATTTTAGTTTTAAGAAGGCTAAAAATCCGAAAGCATAAGGCTTTCGGTTTTTAATTCCAGGAAGTTGTTCCAAGGCCAGAAAGCATAAAAGCTTATTTCAGGAAGACGTTCCAAGACCAAAAATTCGAAAGCATAAAGGCTTTCATCAGGAAGATCGTTCCAAGGGCGAAAATCCGAAAGCATATTCGGTGAAAGCACAGACTCACGTCATCAGCTCTTTGATGACTACCCGCCATAGCGGTGGGCGGGGGTGGGGGGTAATGGATTGATAGTTTTGTATCAAGTATCACTTATTATTTTTTGTTCAATAGTGTTTCTAGTATATAGACAAAGTACGCATGTGTAGTCATGAACTAGAAATCAAACAATTGCACTGTATTATAGTGAAATAACCATGCCATGTTATATTGTAAATAAACTGTTCTATACTTGTTAATCTTTTCGTATATGATATATCATCTTATCATTTGCTCAACGACCGCATTTGCACGTATACTCGGGCTAAACTTAATTAAGCAGTGTGCGTAACGATAATTTAAAAGGATAACTGATATTGTTCCAGTACATTCTTTTAAACATCGTTTATCTGCTATAAACGTAAAAAACCTTTTTTCATTGTCTATTCAAATGTAGAATAGGTTTAGCTTTTATTGAACAAATAACGTAATCCAATTACACACGTCACAATGCAAAGAATAATACATCAGCTATATGGGGTTTGTATTTGCAATGTAATTAGATAAAATAACGTGCCAACGTCAACTATTACCGAAACTTTCGATACAATTACAACTTGGGGGTGGGAAACGCTTAGTAATACAAAGCGACGTGTATAACATTCTGATGGCATGCTTCCATTTTACTTAACTACTTAGAAGAGGCTTCTATTATTCTTCCAAGAAGATTCAAACAAAACGTTTGTTAGTGAAAGTGGCGCAAGTACCAAATTAGAGTTGAAACGTCCACATGATTCTAGCCGCAGACATTCCAGAAAATGTTCGCGCTACAAATGACGTAAACAAAGAAGTTTAGCTAACATGCGTTTCCTTTGTTCTAAAAACAATGACGCCAGCACCTGGACATTTACTAATCGGTATCAACAACAATAACATAAAGAGAGCTATGACAAACGTTTTGTAGCACAAATGTTGTACCTTGCGCAGTTGCATGATAATGATAATTGTTACAAGAATACGTTTGCATACCAGGTAAACCGAGCACGCGGTCACACGAACAGAC